GCTGGCTGCTGCAACCTATCACCCTGCACCCTAAAGTATGCCAGCATAAATCAAAGCCAGAATTTAAGACAGCTGTTGGCCCCCTTACAGTTTAATATTGTAACTTTCTTATTGTAATGTTTCTGTTAAATTAAAATCATTGAAATGATGACTGCATGGTTTTCCATTTTCATACAGCATGCATCTCATTTCCTTACACAGTGTTACTGTGTTTGGAATATATTCCTGAATTAAAGTTATGACATGGATTAACAAACTGCTACTGTTTTTCTTCTTATTTGTAGGAAGAAAGATGCAGCGACCACCAAAAAGGACAGAGTGGCCCATTGTCTGACAATATGCGAAAACATTGTTGCACAGTCTCTGAGGTATGATGGCCGTTTCGAATATGTGTTTGTATGCCGCCAAACTCATGTATTCAACAGTCAGATCAGTGCTCTGGTAGTCAAATACTTGATGTTTAATCAGGCTCTGTAAAATACATTTTTCTGTTGTATATATCTGCATGTGTGTAGAAGATCACCTTTCTGGCTGTGGAATTCTGTGGAATCTCGGTTGCTGCTGTAGTGAATAGCTAGGATTGGCGGGATTAATTCCTACATCCAGAGGACCGTCATTGTGTTATCTAATGCCTTAACTGTGTGTGGAGTGCCAACCTCTCTTTTGCTGTTTGTGGTTCTGGGACCAGAAACTCCCCTGAGTTTCAGAAGCTCCTAGGAATCGCCATGGAGATGTTCCTGCTCTGCAGTGACGATGGGGAATCTGACGTAAGGATGGTAGCTGACGAATGCCTCAACAAAATCATTAAGGTGAGACCGCCATTTTGAATTGCATTTGTTTCTTCATTCTTAGCCTGTTTTCCATGTGGTGGTGTTTATTTTTTAATTATGCATAGCGAGATGAGTTTTCATTTCCAAGCCATAGCCTCTACACAGGTACAGAGGCTTAAAAATCTTTCTGCTCAGACTGTACCAGTTCCTCTTTGCACACTGTAAGGGCTATTGAAGCCAAAAGGAGTGCTTTATGTTCTAGAAACTCTTGTTTAATTGGTGCTTGCTCTGTAGAAGGTGAGGTGGTTGTAGGAAACATCCCACATCTTAGCGTGTTGCATTTCTGAATCAGTTGGTATCTTCAGCCAGTTCAGTTGGGTTCAAATGATTGTGAAACAGTTGTACATGTCTTTGTTGAGTTGTCAGAGTCTGATCTTGTACACAATGTGATCATTAATATTTATACTGTCCTTTGAGCATCATATAAATCCTGGTGCTTTGGCAACATACAAAAGGCTCAAACAAATCAGACCTATCTGCTTTAACTGGAGTTAAGGGTCGTGTGTTAAGTCTTGGTGTTGTACAGTATATTGTGGTCCACTTTGTCTTGAAGTAAAACTGGAAGACTTATTAATTGAAACTTTTTTGTTGGCAAGAGTGAATAAACGTTCATTGCCATAATGCACTGCCTCTTTGTTTTATGTCAGGCACTAATGGATTCCAATCTTCCCCGCCTGCAGCTGGAGTTGTACAAAGAGATTAAAAAGGTGAGTGCACTGGACTTGTTTAGGTTCAGTCATATGAAGGTCCATATTTCAGGGTGGAGAACTTATCTTTGCACACATCATGTCGGATGTTAAACCATAGCAGCTAGAATGCACTTTTTACATCAGTTGTTGCTTCAGTGAAGACTTTCATGTGTGAACATTCAAAGTGAATGGTTGTCCTTTGCTCCAGCAGGCACAAATTATTTTCGGGAAACTTTGAAAAGATCATGTCATTTCCAGGGAGATTTTTCTATATTTATGCGTCCTTTACATTGCACAGTTTGACATCTGCTCTTTTCTCTCTGTTGATTTTTTTTTTCCCTGACATCATTCTGCTCATTTTGTTATATTAATACCAGTTTAGTACTGCTTCTTTTGTATCAGATGAGAATTTCGCCTGATCTTAATTTATAGATACAGTAGAATCCACTTTTTTTGAACCAACATTCTGCTTACAGTGAAATTAGATACTCCAACCATTTTGTATTTCCTGAATGTTTTTTTTGACAGTATTAAGGCTTGAGTTGACATTGTTCTTTGTACTTGATGTGTAATCGTCTTAAAAGTGGGCAAACATATCTGTGATGTGTTCATTATGAAGTGCGAATCATAACATCTAGCCCATTTTCTCGTGATGTTTTTTTCATTAGATATTATCTCACTTTTAAATTGTCTTCAAAATGATTGAGTGTTGAATTTTGACCACGGCTTGTAGTAGGTCAGGCTCCATTGTCAATATGCCACTCCCAGTTAAGCATTACAAGTCAAGTACAGTGCCTTGCAAAAGTATTCACCCCCCTTGGACTTTCTCACATTTTATTGTGTTACAGCATGGAACCATGAATTATCTGACTGAGACTTTTTGCCACTCATCAACACAAAGTACTCTATAATGTCAAACTGAAAAACAAATTCCAGACATTTTACTAAATTTATTAAAAATAAAAAACAGAAAACCGAATGCATACGTATTCACCCCCAAGAGATAATACTTGGTAGGACTACCTTTGGCAACAATTACAGCTGTGAGCCTGGGTATCTCTCTACCAGTGTTGCACATCTTGTAACTGGAATTTGTGCCCATTCTTCTTGGCTAACATTGCTCAATATCCATCAGTTGGATGGGGACCGTTTGTGAACAGCACTTTTTAAGTCATTCCACAGATGCTCATCGAGGTCTGTGCTTTGACTGGGCCACTCCAGTACATTAACCTTTTTGGTTTAAAGCCACTCCAGTGTGGCTTTTGTTGTGTGTTTCAGGTCATTGTCCTGTTGGAAGATGAATCGTCTTCCAAGTCCAATTGCAGCATTGCAGCAAGTTTTCCTCTAGGATTCTTCTGTACTTAGCTCCATCCATTTTTCCTTTGATCTATATGAGTTTTCCAGTGCCTGCCGCAGAGAAGCATCCCCAAAGCATGATGCTGCCACCACCATGCTTCACTGTAGGGATGGTGTTCTCAGTGTGATGTGCTGTGTTACAGTAGGTTTGCGCCAAACATAAAGTTAAATTTTGGTCTCATAGAATCTTCTATATAGAATCTTCCTCCAAAATGTTAAGACTCTCACATGTGTTTGGGAAAACTCCAGCTGAAATGTGATGTGGATTTTTTCCAACAAAGGCTTTCTTCCTGCCACACTTCCATACACTCTAGATTTATGAAGTGTGCCTGCTGTTGTTGTCCCATGCACAGTTTCTCCCATCTCTGTATTGGAGGACTGTAACTCTTTTAGAGTTGCCGTAGGCCTTGTCCCAGATCTGCTGGGAATGTTCCTTGGAAATGCACTAAGTGGGAAAGCTCCCAGACACAGGTGTATTTATTCTGAAATCATGTGAAACACCTCAACTGGACATAGGTGGACTCCAGTCAAGTAATTCTGTGACTTGGAGAACAGAGTTGGCTACTTAACGAGGTAATTTAGATGTGTCAAAGCAAGGGGGTGAATACTTACGCATTCAATTGTTTTCTGTTTTTTATTTTAAAAATAATTTAGTAAAATGTCTGGAATTTGTTTTTCAGTTTGACATTATAGAGTACTTTATGTTGATGAGTGGCAAAAAGTCTCAGTTAAATACATCATGGTTCCATGCTGTAACACAATAAAATGTGAGAAAGTCCAAGGTGGGTGAATACTTCTGCAAGACACTGTAAGAAGGTCTTCATGGAAGCCTGAGAGCATACATGCATGAAAAATCTCAGTCTCAGAAAAATGTTTTAGACATCTGTGAACTTTTGACTCAAATCCATCTTCCACAGGACATACATGTCTGATGAAGTGCAGGACAATTTGAGATTATAATGCAGAAACTGGTTGGTTTCACACAAAATGACCCATTCATTTTTAAACACACCCAGTACCATTTTGTTCTTGAAACTATTACTATCGTACAGATTTTTGTTTGTTAATAAACGTTTGAACTGTTAATGAGCTATGGGTGCAGGTTTTGTATTTTGGTAGATTTGTACACATTGTGCTGAAAAAATATTCATACTCTTCGAATGACCCATCCATTGTGTGGGAATTGCAAATTGATGCATGCACATTTTTTAAACTTTAAATTTTCTGCAAAACCAAATGCTCACTCTGAAGACGTTTAAGGGATGAGCTGCTAATGAGATGTTCGCAAAACCTCAAGGGTAAAAAATGAAATAGGTTGATTGCCTACATTTTCAGACCTGTGACCTTGGTGTAAACGCGTTCGGCAGCAGTTAGAGCTGGAGGTCTTTTTGGACTCCCCACTTTACAGTGTCCTCTTCCTCTCTTCTCTTCATCATTTCATCCCATTTGGCAGATGTGCTCAAGCTCTCTCAGGTTGATAGAAGCAGATTGTCTTTGACAGATTTTTCAGTTTCACTTAAGTCAGGACTTTGACTTGGTCCAGTCCAGCCTTGGGACCAGTTTCAGATCGGAAGCAGGTTTTTATCTCTGATTTGCCAGCAAGTCTTGCAAAACTTCCCAGTTCCTGCTGATAAGAAGCAGAACTATAACATAATGCCTCACCTAAATACTTGACAGTGGGGTTGGTATTCAGTTATGGCCTACATATGTAGGGTTAACCTTAGTAGTAATGCTGTGCTTTTAGACAAAAAAAAATCAAGTTTTATCTAGTTTGACCAAAAACCCTTTGTCACATGTTTGTAGTGTCACCTGGTGCATTGTTGGAAATCTCATGTGAGATTGGAGATATAAATTATTAGATCCGTACAAACTCCCTTTGTGGACAGACTGGGATATGGTTGACCCAGAAATAAGAATGATTATTTGTATGGTGCTGTGGGGCTTCATAGCCTCTTAAGTGGCTCAGTTTTTTATGGCAGCTGTCAGCAATGTGGACACTGACTGATCATGAACCCCTCATGGCTGTGCAGTAAGTCCCATCAGACTGCTCCTTTATCTGCAGAATGGAGCTTCGCGGAGCCTCAGAGCTGCACTTTGGAGGTTTGCTGAACTGTCGCATCTCGTGCGTCCACAAAAATGCAGGTAAGACCGAACGACTATGCCGACGGAAGCTTAATTTTTTGGCCTGTGTGAAATCTGAAAAAAAAAACATTCTCCTAAGACAACTTTTCAGATATTAATAAAAGTAAAAACCATCTATTAAAAAGTAATGATTGGTTTTATTTGCCTCCTTCATGTATTTGCGAAAGATGGTTTTAAGATTCATACACAGTGAATACACTGTCTATTGTGAGTAGTAACTTTTTACAATTTAGTTGAATTGGATTGGCTACACCATTAAACTACACCATCTGTTACAAGCAGCATGGCTCTTTCTAGAAGGTTTTGATTGTATAAGGGCATTCAATTAATTGGAGTTGAATGTAATGTGGAAACATTTGTCAGAAAAACATAGAATCTGTGTAGTGACATATATATTAAAAGGCTTTATACTTTTAAATCTAAAACATAATTCATAATAATATTTTCTTAAGTATTTGGACCTGTACTTTTTTTATTTTCCATACCCTATTCAGTACTTTTCTTCTAATGTGTTCCTTTGATGTTTTGACTGTTTTCTGTTTGTTATTGAGATGTAACAGTGTATTATGTTCTTTAGCACTGTTGTAGCAACTTGAAACGTTGTTCATGCTCAGTTTTTTTCTGTACCGGTTGTGTAGATTGTCAGACAAACCGTGAATGACTGATGTTTAGGAAGGCTGTTTGGATTTTTATCGCCAGGCCGTATCTGGTCAATCTTCTCCCCTGCCTGACGCGGATCAGCAAGCGCCCAGAGGAGACTGTCCAGGAGACGCTGGCAGCAGCCATTCCGAAGATCATGGCAGCACTGGGCCACTTCGCCAACGATGGAGAGATCAAGGTATGGGGTGCTTCTGGGAGAAGAAGGACTTGACTAGCCAACAGCGATATCCCCCTGCAACTCAAAACCAGTAGTACACTGAAACTAAGCAGGTGTGAGCCTGGCCAGTGCCTGGAATGGAGACCTCCTGGGAAAGCTAGGGATGCTGCTGAAAGAGGTGTTTGAGGGGCCAGCAGGGGGCACTCGCCCTGCAGTCTTTGTGGGTCCTAATGCCCCAGTATAGTGACTGGGATGCTATACTGTAAAAATGCACCGTCCTTCGGATGAGACATAAAACCGAGGTCCTTTCTCTTTTGTAGTAATTAAAAATCCCAGGGCGTTTCTTGAAAAGAGCAGGGGTCCTGGCCAAATTTTCCATTGGCATTTACCATTACCTGTAAAGCACTTTGAGTGGAGTTTCCAGAAAAGCGCAATATAAGTGTAAGAAATATTTTTTTATTTTAGAGAACAAAACAAAACCATTTTACATATGAACAACCATTATTCAGCCTTACATCACAGGCACAAATTCCTGTTGTTCCCCTATGTAAGAAATAATTAAAAGTACTGTTCAAATATATATTTTTTTATATGACCATCTACACTATACGTCTTGGTAGAGATTGGTTATAAGAATTTGCACTTCTATTTTTAATGTCAAGATTTTTAGTATTATGCTATAAAAGGACCACATGTTTTCACCTGGGCTGAGATTTTCACTTGTAAGGTGGTTCCTCCAGTTTTGCTGCCCACTACACAGCCAGTCATTTAAACAACTGGGAAAATGTTTCCTCAGTATCTTGCTGTTTAAATCTATTTAGTTTTGTAAGAATAACATTAAGAGACACAGGGCAACATACAATATAATAATAATAATTATTCCTTACACTTATATATCTCTTTTCTAATTATTTCTAATGACCACAGAGAGTCAGAACCTCGGTTTTACGTCTCATCCAAAGGACGGCGCCTGTTTACGGTATAGTGTCCCCGTCACTATACTGGGGCATTAGGACCCACATGGACCACAGGGGTGAGCACCCCTTGCTGGCCCCACTAACACTTCTTCCAGCAGCAACCTTAGTTTTTCCCAGGAGGTCTCTCATCCAGGTACTGACCAGGGACACACCTGCTGAGCTTCAGTGGGTTGCCAGTTGTGAGTTGCAGAGTGATATGGCTGTTGAGTATATAAAAGGGTGCTGTTGAAAGAAATAGCTGTACTTGCTTTTCTGTAAAACTGAGCTACAGTGCGAGAGAGTTCTGCTTTCCCTTGCTTCTTTAATTTTGGCAGAGATTTGTCATATGGTAAACACAGCATGTGATGCTGTACAATTTAATTATCTCTGATGTGCCTTTTTTTAAATTGAGGAAGTTGTAAAGTAAGTCATGTTTCAAGGGCAATATATCTCCAAGAAAGAGAACCTTCCAGCTTCACGAGACTTCAGTATCTACTATTGATTTTATGACAAATGTGACTGTAATCTGACTGGTGTAAACGGATTTATTCAGGAAATGTGGAACAGCATTGTCTCATGATGAGGAGTTGGTAAGAAGCCAGATGTGAAAGTACAGTAGGTGTCTTGTTGGCTGGCTTGGATTAAGGGCTCTGTTACTGTAGTACAGGGATGACAGACTCCTCTCCCATAGAGCCTGTTTTTTTTCTCAATCTGAACCCAAGGTTACATAGTGGATCTAATTTTTTAATGAACTATGCAAACGCAGGACTTGTCAGGTTTTTTCTCATACGTACTGTAACTATACATTTTAATGAACACCAAAGTATCTGGCTGCTAAAGGCTAATCAGGATAATCACGCCTGATGGTTACATCAATATTTTGCTAATGTTTTTTTTTTTCAATGGTTAATGTTTTAGATAATCAGCTGTAGAAGACCTGTATACAGTATGCTTCAGAAAATAAATAGGAAAATTATTTAATTATCTACATGGGTTAAAAGAAAAAAACAAAAGACACTAGGCCCTCAGGAAGTGAGCCCTGCTGTGGTACTTTTTTAAATATTTAGATACACTTAGAATACGTGAATGAGTAAAAATACAACTTGATGTTTCCTAGAGAGAGCAAAAAAGAAAAATAAGACTACTCTCTTTTCTCTCACATTAATTGCATTCTTGTACGGACCTTTTCTTCATCTTTATCTTTACCTGGTGTGTGAGGGGACCAGAAGATTCCTGGTGTCTGCACTAGAAGATTACGATGTCCTTATGTCGTTCACTAAATTGTACAATTTATCTTACCACAGCACATTGATTTAACTAGAAAAAGCTCAAAGGGCTGAATATATAAAATGCTAACTGTTGTGCAAAATTAACTTGATTTCTTTATTTAAATAACACCAAAAACATTTGGAAGAAAGACATAACTTAGAGATGTTTATTTTTTATTTTGTGATTAGACATTTGTACTGTTTAGTATTGCGGGTGATAACATTAACAAAGTAAATATTTATAAATATGGTCAAGCGTGGTTAAAATAGTAGATAGTAGAAAACTCAAAATATTAGCTTTCTGTGAGGTTTTGCAAAAAAAAAAACACTTGGACTTTAAACTTTGTTTCATACATTTTAACAGAAAGTAAACACCTTAAGCAACTAACCTCCATAACAGAAAAACTTCAACATGACAGTGGTAGTAACGTGTTCATTTTATAAAGCTGATTTGCCAATGGCCAGTATTACACTTGACTAAAAAAAAAAAGTTTTTCCCCACATGCTTTTTTTTCTCCTTAAATTCAAGTTTAAGATAGCGGTGCCACAAATTCAAGGTTTCGTGCCTGTACCTGTTGCAATCATACAATGAGTGCATAATTCATTTAAATGAATTGTATTCATATACCACTTTTCATCCCTTTGGGTTTGTTCAAGTGGTTTCTTACAGTATGTAACTATGTATGGCCTCAGTTCACCCACTACTGCAGTGCAGCACTGCTTTGGTTCTGCATAGCAGAGCAGGCCCATTAGAAATTGCTTCACCAGTGACTTTAATAGACCAAATTGGTCCAATTCAGAATGAAATTTCAACAGGACACTGGGGTTCACAGTCCTACTCTTTCAAATAGTGCCGTGAAATTTGTAATGACCAATCTTTAATAACTGTCAGGACCTCAATTTAACGTCTCCTCTGAAGTACCACACTTCCTGCTTCGTGGTGTCCCTAGTCTCTCCAGTATATTGGTTTTGAAATTCTGCTCCAAGGGAAGAGCACCACCTACTGGGCTGCCAGCCTCACTTACAGCCCGGTTTTTTTCCCATCCCAGTGCTGACCAGGCTCGGATCCAACAAGTGGAAGTTACAAGGTGGGTCAAGCCACAGGTGTCCCTTAGTGTCAGGTGTCATGTACCAGGCGTCGCAAAACCCGGAGGACAGGTGTGGTCATACCTTTGATATTTCATTTTCACCAAAAAGTTATTTGGATTTTTGTCATTCTGCGTCACTTTAGGTCCTGCTGAAAGCGTTTATCGGAAACCTCAAGTCCAGCTCTCCGACCATCAGGCGCACGGCAGCTAGCTCGGCCGTCGCCATCTGCCAGCACTCTCGCAGGACCCAGTATTTCTACACCTGGCTTCTCAATGTGCTTCTAGGTAGGGCGACAGGCTCGTGCTGCGTCTCGAGTGTGGATTTGCTTCTTTTATCCGTACTCATCTGTAAGCAGTTCATCTGTTTAATAAGGAAACTCAATTGTGTGATCTTAAATTTAACATTTGATATAAAATCTGACATCTTTGAATGCCCTTCTGTGTGTGTTTTCTGCGTTCTTTAAAGTGTTCGTGTCTTTGCCTTCCTTTTCCCTTTCCCGTCAAAGAACATATCCTCTTTCTAGACCTCTTTCTTTGCACTCGTTTGGGTCTTGCATTTTTTCTTATGTATGTATATATACAGTATACAGTATGTTTGCATTCAGATTTCTGATTAAAATAAAGCTTTAAAAAATATTTTACAAAAATGTTCTGTATTTCTGGAATGAAGCAGAAAGTTATTTTTTCCGAGCGAAACACTTTGCAAGGGAAATACTTGTTGTGCTTGGCTCTCGCGTTACTGCCTGCAAGTTGAGAGAATATTCGTATTTGCCGTTTCAAGAAGCTGGCTGGAACAAACGAATGAGCATACGTTTATTTCTGTGTATATACAGGCATTGCGTAGTGCCTCAGACCAGAGCCAGCTGTTGAATTTTTAAATATTGTGATTATTGTATTAGCATGAAATAATGTTGCCTTATAATTAATTTGAAGAGTTATCACTAATCAATGTTGTATTATTAACAGACAGCAAGATATTGTGGAGCTTTTTATAATACAGAAGTGAACATGTCCCCCCTCCCTACCCACTTCCATTATTTTATTCAGCTGACAGCCTCTTGCTTTTCTGGTTTGGATGCATCTGAAAAGTACGGTATAGCAACACTGTGACCCCAAAGCAGTGAAGCGGTGTTAAGCTGTGTTCCTCTCTTGTTAAGGTCTGCTGCTTCCTGTGGACGATGAGCACCCTGCCCCGCTGATCTTGGGGGTGCTGCTTGCCCTGAGATACCTGATGCCCTTATTGCAGCAGCAGGTCAAGGACACCAGTTTGAAGGGCAGTTTTGGGGTCACGCGAAAAGAGGCCGAGATCTCCCCCACACCGGAGCAGCTAATCCAGGTAAAGACTTAACCAGCCGCTACTTGGATAGCAGAGGCAACATAAAAAATCTATAGTGTTTTATTTAAATGCCTTGTTTTAAAGACGTTGTGCCCAATTTCCTGAAAACCACTAGGCCTGATGTATTATAATTTTTCACAAATTGGGATCTGATTTTCCATAGAATTCCTTAAGCACCGCAAGTGTATTTGCACCCACTGCTGATATTTAATTGGTCACAGGCTATTAGAAAAAAAGAATGGGAAGTAGCTAAATACTCTGAGAACAAAAACAATACTTAGCGTAATTTTTCCTTTTTATACTGTCTATCTCTTTTAGTAAAATGTGACATAGACTTAAATCCGTACTTGAAAAGGGTTACTAGATATCCAATAACGGAAATCTAAGGATGGGTACAGTGAAATGTGCCATCAAGTAAACTTCATCGTGAAGTGTTAATCATGTTTATCATGTCAAATCCTTTTTGGCTGCATTAATCAATGCTTTCCCTGAGGTCAGCAGTCATTTCAGGCTGGAGATTGTGGGCATTGTGTTCTTTAGCAAGAGGCAGCACAAGGGCAACCTTAGAGCAAAAGTCAGACTGTTGCTGGAAGGGTTAACTGTTACGCTGTTCCCTCAGGGCCTTGATATCCAAGCTTCTGTTAAGGGCAACTATCAAATAGGAAATGCTGTGTATATACAGTATGGATACACACGTGTCCATTTGAAATCCAAAGCACTTCTCAATAACACGAGTTGTTTTGATGAAAATGTATGTTTGTCTCATAAAGATGATCATTTGAGCTATGGACAAAGTAAAAAGAAAGCAGATATTAACAGTATTTTTCTCTGTGCCATGACTTGAATGTACAAGCCAGGACCTGTGTGTTCAGTATATGGAGTATAATATATCAAATGTAATATGATAAGAGATAAGATAAGATCACTTTATTAGCCATATACAATTTCTTGTATTAGGAATTTGTCTTTTCGCATTCCACAACTTGCTCTCCATGAGACACTCAGACAGGGAGAGAAGCTTGGGGTCAGAGCGTAGGGTCAGCCATTGTACAGCGCCCCTGGAGCAGCTGGGGTTAAGGGCCTTGCTCAGGGGCCCAACGGAGTAGGATTCCTCTGCTGGCCGGGGGATATGAACTGGCAACCTTCCAGCCACAGGCGCAGATCCTTAGCCACAGAGCCACCGCACTGTGGTAATATAGGACGGATGCTGTGCAATCAGTAGTGTGCCGCTCACCGGAGGAAGAGGTGTCTTTGCAGGGGTCTTTTTTTAGTCCAAGCATCAAGCTGCTCCTCAGTGCCAGGTTGTTATGGTGAAATATCTCTGCTACAAAGTGAATGTGCTGCCGTGCAGGTGTACGAGCTGACGCTTCACTACACGCAGCACCGCGACCACAACGTGGTGACGGCGGCCCTCGAGCTGCTGCAGCAGGCCTTCCGCACGCCGCCGCAGGACCTGCTGCACGCCCTCATCACGGCCGGCAGCATCCCGCGGGTCAGCATCTCCCGCGAGGAGGCTGAGAACCGAGGGCGGAGCAGCAGCATCCTGGAGCTCATTGGTAAATTCCCGCCGCTCGCCGTTTGTTTAAGGGCGGTACAAGACAGGGCAGGAAGTGCTCTCCACGGGTGTGGGTCCACATCTCGTGTGTGGGATATGAGGAAACCTGAACGAAACTGGTTTATAATAAATGCTTCTGCTTTCATTCATCCTTTCATTTAATTGCCAGCAGCCATGTAACCCTGCAACTCACAACTGGCAGCCCACTAAAGCTCAGCAGGTATGAGCCTGGTCAGTACCTGGATGTGAGACCTCCTGGGAAAGCTAAGGTTGCTGCTGGAAGAGGTGTTAGTGGGACCAGTAGGGGGTGCTCACCATACGATCTGTGTGGATTCTAATGCCCCAATGTAGTGAGGGGACACTATACTGTATAAAGGTGCCGTCCTTCAAATGAGGTGTAAAACCGAGGTCCTGACTGTTTGTGGTCATTAAAAATACCAGTTTCCTTTTTCAAAAAGAGTAGGGGTGTTACCCTGGCATCCTGGCCAAATTTCCCATTGACCTTTACTAAACGTGGCCTCCTAATAATCCTCATCTATGAACTAGCTTCATCACTCCTCCTGATCATAACCGATAGCTGGTGTGTGGTGAGCGTACTGGCGCACTTTGGCTGCCCTCGCATCATCTAGGTGGATGCTGCACATTGGTGGTGGTGGAGGGGAGTCCTCATTACCTCTAAAGCGCTTTGAGTGGAGTGTTCCGAAAAGTGCTACGTAAGTGTAAGGAATTATTTTTATTAATCCTAAAGTGTTCAGGCTTAAATAAGGTATTAACCAGTTTCTTTTAGTTTTCTAGTAGGGATATGTAGAAAACTAAAAGAACAAGTAAACATTAATTCCACACTTAAAAGTAGAAAAAAGAAACACAACATTTTGACTGCTGGTCCTTGTTTAGATGGTCCAGTCTAAATGTTGTGTTTCTTCTCATTGCCTTTCAGCGTAGAATCAACCTTTGCTTGTTCTTTTGCTTTCTTGCACATCACAGTTGTTGGACCACACAAGTGGAGGCTTTGCTCTTTGGTGAGAGCTTCTTATCATTAGCAACCCTTCCATTTCTAAACTGGGCTCCACTCCCCTCTATTTGGGCTGTTTCTGGTTTCTTTATCTTTTCTTTCCTGTCACCTGCAGCCGGAGGGTCGTCAAGCAGTCCACTTCTGCTCAGAAAACAAAAAGGTGATTATTTTTAGCTGTGTCTCCTAGTAGCGTCAGGCGTTGTGAATCTGCATAGTACCGGTAGTTTTCAGTAGTACTGTAAGTAGTCCGTCCAATGATGAGTCGCCAGTTATGGGAGTATCTTATGAGTCTGTTTTTTCTTTTCTCGGAAAGCAATAGTAAACTTTTTTTTTGCTGAAACAGATTTACTACATGTTTGCTTCTCACCATCTGTCAGGAGAAGATATTTTCTCAATTCCTGAGACTATCCATAGAAATGAAGACTATTTTTTTCTGAGCAAAAACATGCAAGAAAGCGAACTAATGACTGTGACATTATAGAGGGTTGTGGGTTTCATTGGTAAAGTCAGGGCCGAATACATTTTTACAGTACAGTATGTGCCAGTGTATCGAGTAACTGGAGATCGCTGGATGTTGGAGGGTTTGGTGTCCTCAGATCAATGGTGTTCCCATTTGGCAGGCAAGCTGCTCTCAGGAGAAGAAGAAGGGCTCGAGGATGACACGGAGACCAGGTCAGAGGTCAGCACTGGAACCTTTACAGGTACTGAGTGTGGCTGGGGTGCAGCCTCGATGTTGAACATCAGCACATGTGTCCAAGTGTAATTATCAGCAAAAGATGTGGCACCGCGTATATGTACTCCACATGTGCAGTCTAAATTGGATTTCCAAGCTTGATTGAGATAATAGTATTTTTAATAAATGTATTAGAAGAAACCACTTCAAATTTATAAATGGTTTTGGTGAGTGTTCTAAATACAGTTTACTTACCCAGATTGAAGGCCTGTTTTTTAAATTATCTTAGAGTATGATTTTCCAATATCTATGCCATAACAGAAATGTTTAGGCATGGTGTTTATCACGTTCTTCTCCTCTGAGAAGAACATTTCTGTGGTATCATCTAGTTTTTGTGAAGTTGACACGGTACATGGGTCACACAAATGGTGCTTTTAGGGACACGGAACGCAGTTACAGAGGAAGTAGGAGGCAAGATTTTATGGACACCCTGTACATTTTAGCGGATAACTGCTCAATGCATAACAAGTGCAAAAAAACATACAAGTGGATCCCTCATTTAAGTAGACAGCATTGATATAAACCAAAGCATTAAGAAGAGGCTGATACATTGGCTTCCATCTGTCCAACACTTTGTGATAATGTAAATTAAAGTTCTATACAAGTGTAATACAGTAAAACTTCAATATTCCCAAGTTCAATATTTGTGATCTCACCTATTTGTGCAAATTTTTTAGTGACCACTTTTTTCCATATTTACAGACCATAATTAAATTCAAAGTGTTTGGTTAACAAAGAATTAACATTTATGTTGCATTCCATCTCTGGTTATGCTGTAGTTATTCAGCTTCTGTCGGAAAAAGTGTTAGATGCGCCTGTTATGAGACCTGTTTTTAGAGTAATGCCTGTGGCAGTGACATGTGACCGTTGTGAGATAAAAGAAACGTTAAATAACAAAAAAATACTATGGTCCTCTTAAGTTATCACAGTCACAGTTCTCATGTGTCTCACAGAAAGGGATAAGAGAAAAAATAAAAGGAAGAGAATTAAAGAAATCTTAGGAGGAGGAGAGTTGTTTGCGAGAGATGGGACTGAGTACTCTTGATAATAAAAAAATAAAGAAAATATGCCTTGCGAAGATTAAACTCTTACACTGAGAAAGCTATAATATCATAACTGATTAAATCTGTTTGCACACTTCATAACTTGAATTATAGAGAGAGAACAATGCTTTGTTAGGTTTCTGGTGCTAATTTTCATTGTAAATAATTGCTACCATGAATTACTAACACTTTCAGAAATAGTTTTGCAGTTTTATGAAAAATTGTACAGCGTCAAAGCTTGTTTTCCAAGCTGTGGAACCATAATGTTTTCCCCCATAAAATATTAAGTTCCATATTTGCCAGTCGTCCATTTGCAAAAACCTTACGGTACCAAGCCATCATGAATACAGAGGTTTATATTTCAGTCGCCATCTTCAGAAAGAGCTTATTTCGAAGGGTTTAAACGTCTGCGGAATTATTCCCCCCCCCTCCAGCTTCTGTGACCAGCGATGGCACCAGTGAGGTGCAGTCTTCCTCCGGGATGTCCACTCTGGGCTCGGCTGGGGGGGGTCATGACATCATCACGGAGCAGCCCCGCTCCTCACAGCACAACCTGCAGGCGGCCGACTCCGTGGAGCTGAGCGGCGCCGCGGACCCCCCAAGCGGCCCGGCCGCCGGGCAGACCGCCGAGGAAGAGGACGCGCTGAGCCGCGGCTCCAGCCAGATCAGCAGCAGCGGCGGCGCCGACGCCGACCCCCAGGCGTCCTCGCCGGCCAGCGACAGCTCCCAGACCACCACCGAGGGGCCTGACTCCGCCGTCACCCCGTCAGACTGCTCCGAGCTCGTAAGTGTGCGGCAGCCGTCGGAGGGGGGCTCCCCGACTTCCACGGAGGGGGCCGACGTCTCCCACAGCTCCTCCTGTGAGGGCCCGGACTTCGAAATGTTCACCTCCTCCTCTTCCTCCTACTCCACTGCCTCCCGCTCCTTCGGTAATGGCAGTGACAAGGTCAGCAGTTTGAGGAAGGAGGGCCCCACAACTGAATGCCTGCCATACTCCCCGCCCTCCGCAACTCCGAGCTGCCTCATGACTGCTGACCCCCATTTCGTGGTCATTTTTGTTTTCCTGCTGCTGCTTTTTTCTAGTAGCTCCCACGCGAGTCATTTTTTTTTAAAGAATAAAGCTCTGAAGCCAATCTGGCCTTCAGTAGCCTTTTTCCTCGAATCCAGTCTCTGTTTCATATGAGTATGTCTTTGTTGCTCACATAGCAGTACTGGTGTGAATGGAATCTGCATAAGTCAAATATGTATAAATCTTAATAGTGTGTTATCAGGTGTATTGGAAGAAATGGTGATCACCAATTGAGTTAGTTTTTTTTCTTTCCATAAATCCATGACAAAAGTAGAGCAAGACACTGGATTCTAGGTCACATTCAGTTAATTTGTTGTGTGTTGGATTGTCAAAAATCTGGTGTATGCTTCTGAACCAGGGTTTTGAATATCTGCTTTATTTTTGTGTAGGGTTATACATACACTGTATACTTGCATCAGTGAAAATAGTAAATCATTTGATATGTTTAAAAGTAATGTTTATTCACAGTCTACCAGGCTGATAGTGATATCCTCAGTCAAACTATTTCTTGATTGACAAAATTAAGTTGATCTCTTCTTTAGGTGGCATCCAGAGAATTCTCTTGTGATTTTTAGAGAATTAGTGCGCAGATGGAAAAACATTGTAAGCCTAGTGACCTATAAAACATTCAGTGTTCGTCCCTTATGCATGAAATAAAGCGGTTTTGTAGTTATGGTTTTGATGGACTCCAGCTTTGCTGACAGATGCTGTGAAAGACCAGTCCTCGTACACACACAGCCTAAATATGATTGTGAGTTCACCTGTTATCCTTAATACAATTTCTATACACGCAGTTTGTTTTCAAAGGGCAGCGACAGCTGTGCTAGTTAATCCCAACTGGGACAAGTTTTGACTGCATTTATTTGATGTGTAATACAGCTGCACTAGTTATTGTGTAATGGACATTTCTGTCCTTACAAGTCATTAGGATATCGCGAAAGTCACTCCTAGCCAAACATCCAGTTAGAAGGCAAAACCATTGTTTGGCACTTCCCGCGTGATAGAGCAGATCTATACCACTGCGCTTAGCAGTGCAGTGCAGGTGAAACATCTCCATTGGCTTTGCAAAAGAGAGCATAGCTATACATCCTAGGCTGTCTGGTGATTTCCAATTTGTCATGTCCCACAAAAACAAAAACACGGCTTCCATTCTGCCACCACACACCTCGTGATTGGCATTGGAAAGTCCTCCAAATTCAGTTGTTGGTTTAAACGAAGCATGCACTCACTTCAGTAGTAAAAAGTCTGTGTGTGCCAACGTCCACAGCAGGTGCAGTTTGGAAACTGTCGAGGTTGCTTCAGTGTGTGTGTGTACAAGGCCTTAAAGCAGCTGATCATTTTTTTTACCATAACTTTGCACTGCGCTTTCATTTCGCAAGACCTATAACCGCTCCACATAGAGACTGCATGTGTTCCACTTAATGGAGCCAATACCCCTGTTGGTTTCCTGCATTATCTACTGAAGATTTTATTTGGTTTGTTGTAAACGTGTACAGTAGGAGAATTGCACAATAGGAGGACATTTGTTTCCATCTATTTCTGTAATCTTTAATATTTTCTGGTCATTGTCCTTTTTGTATTCTACACATTATTGAGCTGTTCACATACAAAACAGATTAGGGGCCTGTGCTTTCCCGCATCATGTGGTGTGGTACAGTTTTCAATAGCCATGTGATTTTCCCTTCTTCTTAATAAATACTGTACTGTAGGTAAGCAAATATCAGTTTTGCATTCACTGGCTTATTATCTCTTGAGAAAGATGGAACTGCATTCAAGTGAGCCCATGTGAAACCTGCTTATGATCTTTCAGCCAGTCAGCGATGGCCCTTAAAAAGAAAGAAAAAATAACACACACGAACTATTTTGATAGATTTTATCCAAATTAAGGATTTCATTGTTTCCTCAGATCCGAGTACTTATGAATTCCAACAAGTAAACCATCTGATGCCAAATCGAATGAACAAAAAGAGGTTTCAAGCTTGTCTTAAATGGGTCCTTAACTAAATTGCCAGCAGTTTTTGACATCCCACGTGCTGTGTATTTCAGGTCCTGGATGGTACTGAAAGCCAGTACTCAGGGATGCAGATAGGCACACTCCAGGACGAGGAAGAGGAGGGCAGTGGCAATCCCCTGGAAGAGCCTTTGCAGGCCCTCACCGATGCCACTATAGGTAGGCCATTTTGCGGCACGTCTAAGCTCAGGCAACGTTATGACAATGAGCACAATTCCCTTTTAGATCAGTCTATTTTTATCCAACTGTTTGTCCTGTAATGCATTTTTCGTCTCGCCTAAAGTCCTCAAAGGCATTGACAAAGTCAAAAAGACTTCTTCCAAATAAACAGTGAAGTGCAAAGCAGGGGACTCAATGGGTAACGCCTGAAGTGCATTTACAACTGTGAACAGGGCCTACTCCTTTACCCAAAGGATTGTGGGAGTATGGAACCAGCTACCCATATGATTGAAGCCACTGTTGTTGGCTTCTTTCAAGAAATGGCTCAATTAAATCCTTGGGTCAGTGAGTAAATAGCTTCAAACAGGCTAGATAGGCAGAATGTTTGTAACCTTTCCTGTGTTCTTATGTACTTAAGTGAACTGTCTTTGAACTGTGTTAAAATCGAAGAAAGAGTGGAATTGCAACACTGTAACGAGCAAGATACCAGCAGTGGGATCTTCTGGGAACCAAACGAACTTGCCCTGGGAAGGCACCATGCATTTACTTTTGCTTGTAATCTGAAGTTCTCATTGTTTCTTTTAGAATTTGCTGCTGTTGTTTTTACACATTTTAAAACCGTGCCAACTAAGAAAAGTTATTTTAAAAGCAATCTGCTGTTGCCTGTTAATTTGCTGAGCTGTAGCCAAAACTGTATTTTTTTCCTATTATCTTACTGCAGCCAAGTCATTGGGCCACTGTTACGTTGGCCTGTAGACTCATGATTCCTATGTACTTCCTGCTTATAGCCTTGAGCAAACCACACTTGATGGAAAATATGGGCCACAGCCGGCAGCCATCTGACAGCAGTGTAGATAGATTTATACCAAAGGACGAAGTGGTGGAGAATGCAGAACCTGAAAACAAGGTGACTAATTACATTAGGGCTTGCCCACTCTTAGTTCAAATGACTTCCACTGAATCTGAAAACAGAATGTACAGTATACTGTATGTAATGTATATAGAATCAATAAAGCTATGTTTAAACTTGAATACGTGCTAAATATTAATACTTGTTAGTATTTTTTAACAATGTATATGTTTGTATAAAAGTATACATATTTATAAATGCTGATGCTTTCCACTTCAGTTTCCTTTATCTAGTGTGCTTTAAATAGATATTGTAGCATTGTACCTTCACAATATGGAGCACCTCATGCATTCGACAAACCTACATATACATTGAATGCTGTTAGATTCTTCTGCGGACTTGAGGGGGTCTTGACAGTTTTTAATAAATAGGATGTTTGGTTGTATTGCTGAGAAAATAGTAATAGCGTGAAGATGTGCACATGCCATATCCCAGCTCACTCTCACATTTTTTTTTACTCAGCCCTCCAGAATCAGGGGGGACATTGGCCACTACACTGACCCAAAGGCTGCGCCGCTTGTCCACTGTGTGCGACACCTCTCAGCATTGTTTCTGTTGACTGGAGAGAAGAACGGTAAGAGTCAGGTGCTCCCCTGCGGTGGGTCGATAAAAATCATGAGCATTGCGGTAAACATATTTTGGCATTAAATACAAGATCAGATCTTCTGTACAATTTGTTTTTTTACTCGCCAAATTGTCCGTAATCTTTGGGTTCCCCATTTCAATCTGATGTTTTCTGAGTAGAACTCCATTTTGCTCTAAGAATTGCAGCATTGAAGTAGGTCTGTCCGAGTCTGGAACGTGGAAGGGAAGGTGTCTGAGGCAGCAGTCTTGGTCCAGGGCAAAAAGTGTGCTGTTTTTACTAGTCAATCAGTTGTTCTAATGTAAAAACAGCCCGGTACAACAACTTGCTACATAGACAATGATTATCACAAAGGCTGATTAATATTTTAGACCCATAATTCAGGGCTTTGCTGAATCTGTGGTGAGTTTTAATGGACTGCCGCCCAAAGCATTTCCACATCTGTCTATTTTTGTCATTTGAAAGTACTTTAAAAATGAAATGGTTTTGAAGAGCCTTTTGAATTTGCCCACTAGGCCTTGTCCCAGACAGGGAGGTGCGGGTGAGTGTGAAGGCCCTGGCGGTGAGCTGCGTGGGGGCAGCCACTGCCCTCCTCCCCGAGGCCTTCTTCAACAGGCTGTACAGACAGCCCCTGGAGGGGGTCCTGCAAGAGGGTAATTCTGCCTTCACCTTCACCCTAATGCATGATCTCACTCCACCTCATGGTATACATCAATGAACATGGGATGGATAAGAAAGGGACTGATTTTTTAAATCTAGAATACACATTGGAATAACCTTCAAAATAATGCAGATCTTTCACAATGCCGTTTAAAAAAAAGGCTGACACCTGCTATAATATTGGATAGAGAATTCCTTAGCCCTTTAAGAGATGGCTACCCTAACTCCTGCGGTTTAAAATCAGCTAATCAAATTATATTTGAAGCACTTTCAAACGTTTAAGGTGGTTATGGCAGTGCCAGTGGACTGGTTGAAACAATTTAATTCGGCATGTTTATTTTTGCTTCAGCAGCTGAAAAAGTTATTCCCAGTGTATTAGACACTTTGTACTGGTACTGACAATCCACTGGGGAAAGATGGGGCTTTATAAGTGTGTTGCAATGTTTTACATTCATGCTTCAAATTCTTTCCCTCTGATTATCCTCCTTTTTTCATTTATAGAGCAGCAGTATATATCTGACATTTTGAATTATACTGATCATGGGGACCCCCAGATACGAGGAGCCACTGCTATACTGTGTGGTACAATAATCTACTCCATTCTCAACAAGACACGCTTTAACATCGAACCCTGGTTGGCCAGGGTCATGAGCTCCACAGGTAAGACCCTCCTTTTTCACCAGAAAAATGTATAATGAACAAGCTTAAAAAATGTAGGTCATTAATGAAGACTACATTGAAAGAACTCGTTACATACAGTACATGCCCAATATGCAATCAGAGATTAGGAACTAAAAAGAAGATTTCAAAGTTGGCTGAATCTTTTATCCAACATGATTTCCATCTATATCCGTTTATATAGTTGGGCCTTCTACCATTTTACAATTTACGGGCAGTCAGACATTTGAGTGAAGGGCAGAACGGTGATGCAGTTCCGGACCTGCGGAGGTATCTGTGTGGAGTTTGTATGATCTTGCTGTGTTCACGTGGGTTTCCTCCTAGTACTCTGGTCTTCTCCTACAGTTCGAAGGCCTACTAGTTGCTTAATTGGCTTCTGGAAAAACTGTCCCGGTCTGCATGTGCTCTGCACTGGACTGGCAGAGCATCCAAGGTGTATCCCACCTTGCACCTGTTGCTTGCTGGGATAGGCTATGGCTCCCCTGCATCCCTGAATTGGATGAAGCACTTAGAAAATGGACTGATGGAATTTGAGTGGTGCCCATTGGTCAAGGGAATAACAGCAGTGTCCCACCCAGGGGCGTATATTGCAGTAAGTGGGATAGCAGTAAAATAGAATTTCTTAGTGAAACCATGTGAGGTGACACTTCATCTAATTTTCTCTGAGCTTGCTATACAATAGCCGTCATTAAGCAGATACTTTAAACGTGAATTATGTATAGTTTGTCTCTTTGTTTTGATGGCAAAAACTGAATTTTGTTTTATGATTGATGTGGGGTAGTTGACAGGAGAGTTGAGTGTACTGGTATAAGGCTTTTGATTACTTAATGATTTGTAAAATGTAATATTACTTTTCTAGAGTACAAAATGCAAGGCACATATACCGTTTTCATATCATATCTTCCCATTGTTCAAATGTTTCTTTTTATTGTATTAAAAATGTGACTAGTTCAGTATTTTTATGGGAACCATTTGATTTAATGCATTTCTTTGTTCCTCCATTTTTGGAGCAGGGTCAAATAGTCATTTATTTACAGTAAGGTCATAATTTTTTCTTCATTTTAACTGGTTTATAAGCAACTTCTAACACTTTTTTTTCCAAAATAAGTGTTCTGGGTGCTATTTGCTGTTTTTGCAGGTGATGTTTACTGGCAGTTAGGTACAGTAAATGCTCAGTAGATATTGCAAACAATAAAACAATACATTAATGTCAAGTAAGATGTTGGGATCAGAAATCTTAGATTGAGTCAAGCACAACATTTCATGTTTTATTTTCCTTCTTATAGTATAGTAGTTATGTTAATATCACAAAAGCATATTGCATGTGTCTTATGAACAATATCTGTTTTGGGTTTCAGGAAACCCCATATCTCTGGTAAACTGTGTGCCTTTGCTTCAGAAGACCCTCAGAGATGAGTCTTCAGTCACCTGCAAACTAGCCTGCACTGCTGTGAGGGTAAGAGTGCTTCAAGACAATAAACACAAGTCCAGTCCCTATGTATGCTACTACACTCCAAAGGTGGGTGAAGTGGATCTTCATCTATGTCCATTGCACTTTGGAATGGGATGGAACATGCTGTAAAAATTTAAGAGATAATTATTACATTGACCCATAAGTGTTAATAGACCCCGACTAGCACTGTTGGTAGAGCATGAGACTCATAATCTCAGGGTAGTGGGTTCGTGTCCCACGTCTGGCGCCAGGTCCTCCATGTTGAGGTTAGGCACAAGGCTAACAACCTTGTCTCGAAAAAAACAAATCTTACAGAAACAGCAACAGGATGTTGCTGCACCCTGCATGCCAGAAGGCATAATGGGAAATCATCTATCCATAAGTGTTAAGGTACACAACAGCCAAAGGACTTTTGTATCTGTGTGATTGTGTGCCCTGCTTTCTAGCACTGCATCATGGCTCTGTGCAGCAGCACCATCAGCGAACTCGGCCTCCAGCTTGTCGTTGACCTCTTGGCCCTGAAGGACAGCTCCTACTGGCTGGTCAGGACTGAGCTACTTGAAACACTGTCCGAGATCGATTTTAGGTAATAAACGTCCCAGTCTGCTTTCTAAGGCAAGACTTTAAAATGGGTTCAGACCTTCCCCAGATACACACAATTAATAATTTTATGACGAATAATTATGCGATTGGTTTATTATGAGTTGGTGTCTTTTGCCAGAACCATAAGGAATGTGTATACTTAAAGGAATTCAAATTATTTTTGTCTGTTCTTTTGTAACATCTTCCAAATACGGTGACACACACAGTTTATTTCCTTCATTGTCATCCAGTGAATAAAAAATCAGTCCAGAAAAACATGTTCGAATACATAAGAAATTATGATGGAGCTCGAGTATTATTTTTTTCCAAATTCATATTGCTCTTATCTTTTGTAAAATTAAATGATGGAGTTCTAAAAGACCTCTTATTATCTCCGTTTCCAGGTTAATAAGTTTCCTTGAAAGAAGAACTGAGACCTTACACAGAGGAGATCACCACTACACTGGGGTCAGTCTGAGTCTAATGTCTCACTGCTATCTGTGCTGCAATTGTTTCATCATATGAGGTTAAGATTATAATTAACTTCCACAGC